TCTTTCTGGATGTAACAGTCACGGAAAGTAATGATGACTTCAACACTGCAGTCTACACTAAAGAAACGAACATAGGAATGTGCCGTAATGCCAAGTTGTAGTGCCGCTAGTTCTGTTTGTGTGGAGGTCATCTCGTTGTTTAACCTGACATTGATAGTCTGAGTTCAGATATTATTTCTATAAAACCTACATGCTGCTGCAGTCCGTCCAGTAGAATATTGGACTGAGCCGTTGGTGTAGAGAGAGTGCTCGTCATATCCTAAGTTTTCGAAGGAGGAGGTAATTGTTTGAGGTGTGACAGCTTTGAGAAGAGCAAGATTCTCATTATCTTGAGCGACGGGTGTGTATAATACTTGAATGGTGTGGGTACAGATAAATAGGAATATTGGAGACAGGTAGATTGCACTTGAAAGGAATGTTGAGTTTCATTTGATTGTAGGTCCCCTTTACTCAGCTATTTATCATTCAAGGAGTGAGTATGTTGGCATCAGTCAATAGGGTGTAAACAGCACTGAATAATTTGTCTCTGAGCAATGCAGGAGATGTAGGGTCTCTAATGATTTTAAGGCAAAAGGTCGTGTCGTCTCCCAAGAGTTTAATCGGAAGCTCGAGGAGAGGCGTACTCCGCAAGTCAGTTTGATTAGCTTGTTTTCTTTTTAATGTAACCCCCCCCCCCCCCCCCCTCCAATGTATTCATTACATTAGGGACTCTCATCTGAGATCAGAGAATATTAATTGTCACACAAGCCAGGTTGTGCGAGTGTACTTTGCATAATGCGAGGTTGTGTACACTAAACTGCAAGATAGTGGGTAGTCTGGCGTCATCTCTCAATATATTAAGAAGTGTTTGACACCACATATACTGGAGACCGAGGCTGCACTATGAGGAGTACACACAGTTGCTGCAAGGTAAATGTGAGCAAAGAGCGGACTGTGATCATCGTGATTTCTAAATTACTTCCATACATGCATTTTGATTTCCTTCATTCAAGAAAATATAGAAGATCTGCTTACGATTTTTATACAATTCCCGTTAAACAATGTTTCATTATGTTTATTGACGTAAAGATTTCGTATTTATGATCATTCTAACAGTGTATGTTGGAGTTCATTTATTTATTACTATCTGTACTTGGCCACGCGTTGCTGTGTCTCAGCAACCTTCCACTGTCTCCCAGTCCGTCCCACTATTCCCCCCTCCCTGTCCCTTGGTCCTCCCAACCATTCTTCACTCTCCCATCCCCTCGTCCTCCCAACCATTACCCCCCCCACCCCAGTCCCTTTGTTCTCCCCACCATCCTCCACTACACCGTTCCCTCGTCCTCCTAACCCTTCCCTACTCTCCCAGTCCCTTTGTTCTTCTCACCATGCCCCACTTCACCGTCCCTTCATCATCCTAACCAATCCCCACTCCACTGTCTCCGCATCCTCCTCACCATCTCCCACTCCCCCATCCCCCCCAAGTCCTTCCTACCATTTCCCCCTCCCCTGTCCTCTCGTCTACCCCACCATCCCCACTCCCCTGCCCCCTTGTCCTTCCCACCATTCTCCATTTCACTTGTCCTCTCATCCACACCATTCCCAACTCCCCTGTCCTCTCGTTCTCCTCACCATTAACTCCCTTCCCATGTCTCCCTCATCCTCCCTACCATCCCCTAAACCTCCCCCACCATTCCCCACTCCCTCGTCTGATGCATTCTCAAATGATCTGATGTTCCCATCAGAAAATTGGGAAGATCAAATGATTTGATGTTCCCATCAGAAAATTGGAAACATCAAATGATCTGATGTTCCAACAAGAAAATTGGGAACATCAAATGATCTAATGTTCCCATCAATGAAATATAAGAAAAACAGTTAAAAAACGAAATGAAAAACAATGAAAAAATAAAAAAATAAACTATACTCACGAAATGAACGGTATAGTAAACAACACAGCACTATTCAAATGCATTGTCACACAAAATAATTAAATCAAAATGAATATAAATCGAAATCTATGAAAATGCAATTTATCAATGAAATCAGAAACATTAAAATGAAATTGTAACATATTTAGTATAGCGTGTGTTGCTCTTACATGCACCAGATGGCTCTGTTTTTCAAAAAAGCATGTTTTTACCTGTCACAGGCGTCGCATCTATATAGTACGAATATAAAAAACATGCGCGTATTTAAATGGAACGTTGTGACAAAATTTCAAAGCAATTGGTGAAGAGCTTTTTACAGCGAAAAAATTATTGAAGATTACAGCATGTGTTACTCCTACGTCCAACAGATGGTGCTGTTTTTAATAAAAAACATGCTTTTTTCCTTTCACAGGTGAGGCATATATATAGTAGGTATGTAAAAACATACGCCAATTCGAATTCAAAGTTGTGTTACAATTTCAAAGCAATCGGTAAAGAGGTTTCGAAGAGTTTCCTCCTATGAAAAACGACATGAAAAACACAGTTTAAGAATAAAACACGTTCTTTCCCATCACAGATTTGCCATCTATATAGTATGTATATAAAAACCCGCTCGGATGCGAATAGAACGTTGAGTCAAAATTTCAAAGCAATCGGTGTAAAACTTTCGGAGATTAGCGATTATGAACAAACGAACATTTACATTTTTATTTACATAGATTATTTGATAACTAACTGTACCTGGCCACGCGTTGCTGTGGCTTCGCAATGCATGTGCGTTGTTGAGCACAGCAACCTTCCTCTGTCTCCCAGTCCTCACCACCATTCTTCCGTCCCCTCGCCCTTCCAACCATTCCTCACTCCTCCGTCCTCCCAACCATTCGCCACTCTCCCATCCCCTCATCCTCCCCACAGTTGGCCCCCCTACCCCATCCCTTTCTCCTCGACACAATTGCCCCCCTCCCCCATCCCTCCTCGACACAATTGCCCCCCTCCCCCATCCCCTCCATGACCCACTTCACCGTTCCCTAGTCCTCCTCACCATCTCCCACTCCCCCGTTCCCTCATCCTTTCTACCATTCCCCCTCCCCCGTCCCCTCGTCCTCCCCACCATCCCCCACTCCCTACTCCTCATCCTTTCCACCATTCCCCACTCCCTCGACCATTACATTCCCAAATGATCTGATGTTCCCATCACTGAAATATAAGAAAAACAGTTAAAAAACGAAATGGAAACAATGAAAAAATAAAAAAACAACTATACTCATAAAATGAATGGTATCGTAAACAACACGTCTCAATTCCAACGTAATGTCACAGATAATATAAAAATCAAAATTAAAATAAATTGAAATTTATGAATGTTAAGTTTATCAATGAAATCGGAAACATTGAAATGGAATCATCATATATTTATTATAGCATGTGTAGCTCCTACATGCAACAGATGACGCTGTTTCTTAAAAAAAAAAGAATGATTTTACCTGTCACAGGTGTGCTATCTATACTTACATATTCGAAATGAATGGTATGGTAAGCAACACAGCTGAATTCTAGCGCAATGTCACACAAAATAATTAAATCAAAATGAAAATAAATCGAAATCTATGAAAATTCCTTTTATCAATGCTACTGGAAATAGCATTCCAATAGCATGTTGCTATTGTGTGCAGCAGATGGCGCTGTTTTTTTTTAACATTTTTTACCTGTCACAGGTGTGGCATCTATATAGTAGTATATAAAAACACGCGTGTGTTTGAATTGTGTCAAAATTTCAAAGCAATCGGTGAAGAACTTTTATGAGATTTTTTTTTTTTTTTTTTTTTTTTTTTTTGAGATATATACAAGAGTTGTTACATTCTTGTACAGCCACTAGTACGCGTAGCGTTTCGGGCAAGTCCTTAATCCTATGGTCCCTGGAATACGATCCCCTGCCGCGAAGAATCGTTTTTTCATCCAAGTACACATTTTACTGTTGCGTTAAACAGAGGCTACAGTTAAGGATTTGCGCCCAGTAAATCCTCCCCGGCCAGGATACGAACCCATGACATAGCGCTCGCGGAACGCCAGGCGAGTGTCTTACCACTACACCACGGAGACTAAAGATTACAGCGTGTGTTGCTCTTACGTCCAACAGATGGCGCTGTTTTAAAAATAAACATGTTTTTTCCTGTCACAGGTGAGGCATGTATATAGTAGGGATATAAAAACACACGCCTATTTGAATGCAATGTTGTGTCAAAATTTCAAAGCAATCGGTAAACAGGTTTCAAAGATTTCCCTCACATGAAAAACACTTGAAAAACACAGTTTTTAAAAAAAGCATGTTTTTTTTCCCGTCACAGACGTGACATCTATATAGTATGTGTATAAAAACCCGCTCGAATGAGAATGGAAGGTTGTGTGAAAATTTCAAAGCAATCGGTGGAGAACTTTAGGAGATTAGCGATTTTGAACAAACAAACATTCCATTTTTATATATATAGATAATTAATAAATTAACAAATTATTTTTAATATTTATTACTTTTATGCAGTAATTATATAATTATAATTTTAATTTGAAAACTCTCACAGCTAGACAGGAAACCATCAATCTAATTATCTAATCTTTTTCACATCCTTCATAAATCGGTTCAGTTGCAGGTAAAATATCAAGATCTTGTTTTGTAGACACACAGATAAAGTATTATTTTAGCTTGCCACATTCGGACAGAGTAGGAAAATCTTATTTACATTCAATATAACTCAGTATAGCAGAGTAAAACTGATCAATTTATGATGCAAATTTGGCAAGGTAGCAAGACTTGGTTTAGTGCACACTTCTGAATAAGGTAAGAAAGCTTTCTTCAAAGCACATATATTGCATTACTTATATATTTTTTTGCCCTCTAAATTCTTACTAAAAATATTATACAACGTACTAATCCAACCCCTCCTCACGTGTCTTAGTACGTATGTCACATTGGTGACACACTCTTAGTACCTATGCTGCTAATGTTCATAGTTGGCCAATGGGAGATTTAGTTCCTTCGATGGTACTAATCATACCACGGGAGGAACACTATAACTGTATATGTACACTTGACAGGATGGGTGACTACAAGCTGTTTTGGGAGACCCAGGCTCTGGGGAGTGGACATATCCCCCCGAGAACTCCAGCTTCACTACTGACATCAACCTCAACATTGAAGAATTAACTGATATATTTGAGTCCCAACATCATATAACACAGTCAGATCCAAGGCATCTTAGAGCAGTAGACTTTAGTCAAAATCAACCTGGACTCATCGAAGCAAGTGTAAGCTTCGATCATACCCAGTCTGGTCCCACGCAAGCAAGTGCAGGCTTAGATCATACCCAGTCTGGTCCTATCCAAGCAAGTACAGGCTTAGATCATACCCATTCTGGTCCCACCCAAGCAAATGTAGACTTAGATCATACCCAGTCGAGTCCCACCCAAGCTAATGTTGGTGCATATCACTCCCAGTCTGGTCCCACCCAAGCAAGTGTTGGTGCAGATCATACCCAGTCTGGTCCAATCCAAGCAAGTGCTAGCTTAGATCATACCCAGTCTGATCCAATCCATGCAAATGTACATATAGATTATACCAAACCTAATCTCATGAAATTGAAGGAATTGGAAATTATCGAAAAGGAGAACAGCAAAATGTTGGAGAGTGACAAGATAAGCAAATATTTGCTAGATGCAGACGGCGGCGTGAGTGGCAGACTCCTCATTTCTAGGGGACACCCTGCTTCTGGCCATAGCGGGAACACACAGGAGGGGCACATGTCTGGGGGACACCTTGCTTCTGGCCATAGCGGGAACACACAGGAGGGGCACATGTCTGGGGGACACCGTGCGTCTGGCCATAGCGGGAACACACAGGAGGGGCACATGTCTGGGGGACACCGTGCGTCTGGCCACAGCAAGGACACACACGAGAGGCAGGGTGAGGGCCAGCTGACCATCCAGCAGCTGCTGCAATATCTCAATACCAACATCACCGAGATCAGACTCTATAATATCACAGGTACGTTCTGCGCTAAAGAAGCGTGACATTACTACTTTAATTAACTGATAATAAAATTGTCCACTTTATATAATGTGTAAATAAAGGACTGACTGACGCTCCACATTCTTACTCGTGACACTTCAACTTAATGATTATTTAAGTTTAAGTTGTTCCACTTAGCTACAAACTGCGCAACCACACACATGTGAAGTCAACTCAACATGACGATGCTGATTTTCAAATGACTTTCCAATTAAAGTATTTTTACAATAGGACGAAACAACATGGGAGAAAATCTTCATAATTCGTTATAAACCAAATGGTTATATAATCAGCTTAGCGATAACATGTATCATTATTATTATGTGTTAATGCCAGTGTTCGGTCAATAATATACCATATCTACTGCATTTAACATTCTTTCTAAAATCATATACTATGTTTCTCGCCTTGCCCTGGTAACGCTTTATTAATCACATATATTGTTATTTCACCTATGGTATCCGTTCTTGGGGTTCTACTACCCAAAATTATCTACGTACTGAACAGAAATCAGCAATTAGAAATATAACAAACTCAAGCCCCAGACAGCATTCGACCCCTATACATAAATCTTGAATATGTTAAATATTAGGTCCCTGCACATTCTGTCAGGTGTACTCTCTATAATATAAAACAATGAACTTAATGCTAATTCTGATCCTAAACGCTTCCTAAAGGACTAACAGAAACCACGGGCACTACACTAGAAACAAATCTCTATTTGATATTCCAAGAGTGCGACTTAACCAAAGCAGAAATGTTGTGCAGATCAAGCGTCCCAAAATGTGGAATGACCTCCGTAATTACATCAAAGACTGTATAGTTTACCAGTTTAAAGTGAAACTATATACTACCTAATAAACTCTGTGTAGCCTATCTTACTTCCTAAATATCAATTTATCTTTTGCTATTTTTTAATATTAATAACAGAACCTGTAAAGCTGCTGATATCTGCTGTGTAAAAAAAATATTTCTTCCGTTTAATTAGTGAAAATTTCTCTGTTGCAAATTCTGCTGTACCAATCACCAAGTAATAGTGTTTTTCTCTATTTTTCTACTTCAGTTCATTTTAGGCAATTAGTTTCAAGTTTGTAGTTTAAACAAAATTCCACATCATTGGGCAAATGCTGTGCAGATTAGTGGCTTTAGGCATAGTACTTTTCTTACTTATACATCATTCATTCTTCTCGTATCTTATTTATGTACGTGTGTACTTATGCTTACATAACAATAATGATAATGATAATAATAATAATAATAATAATAATAATATTATTATTATTATTATATTAATATTAATATTAATTAATATTAATATTACAATGAATAAAGATTCATGCCAGCCTTGCATGTGTGGTTCTTAACAACATAAATATATGATTCTTCTTGTTTCTTTAATATGACTGACCAGGAGATGGTGATAATAAATGCGTGACGTCGACAAAAGCCCAGCTGCATAATAATAGTGCTTGAACACATAATACTTGGCAATGTTCCTTTATATTAATCACATTGTAACACTTAGCCAAAAAATCCAACATTAAAGCTGGTAAGGGTTTGTTAATTAAAGCATGCCAACGTTAATATTTTTCTGTTCCAGCGGATCCAGAGGAGAGAGTCAACCTGGCGGAGATAGAGGAGGGTGTTGTTGTGGAGATGCTGTACTTTCTTCTGGAGCAAATGTCACGTTACGTTCCCGCCGACATCAAGTCTGATGACCCTGCTGGTGATCCATCTAACTTTAACAATATCTGGACCCCAGGATGGTGTGACCCATAATAATCTAACTTCAACAATAATTGATCCCCAGGACATCTTCAATTTCCAGCCGGTGATTGGTGTGAGAGGGCATAGTGGACGGTTGTCGGAATGTGATGCTCTAAATGAAACTACAGAAATGCTCTATAGGAAACTAAGAACAAAAACTACAACATCTCCACTAAAATTATATTATAAATCCACCATGCATAGTGAACATAAAAAAGAAGAACGAATAATGAAAGAAATAATCCGTAAAGGAGTAAAAAGCCTAACTCCTAACCAAAACGTAGACCTAATCATGTTCTATAAAACAAAGAACACTACGACCACCTTATTAAAAAAGCCCGAAGCCGATGGAGAACCCTTTACAGCAGTCCAACGTGGTATATATGTACACCTGCCACCCCCCCATCCCCACCCCACGAAGGATGTAACCTTCAACCTAAGTACATAGATATAACGTCGACCAAGCTGACGAGGCGTTTGACCTGTCATCTTCAATCAGGTGCCCCCAAAAATCACATGAGACAAGCCAATGACGTCACCCTTACAAGAGAAATGTTGAATAAAAACACTTGCATAATAGACAAAACCAAGGATGTAAGAAGATTACAAATTCTTGAAGCAGTCCATATAAAAATAGATCAACCTACCATAAATATCCAAATTACGACACTATTCACTCTATCCACCATGAGAGTAAGAACAAGACCGGAACATGAAGATACCAACATAGAAGAATTTCCTCAACACACTAGGCCTACTACACCTGATTAATCTTTGTGTGTGCTTCGTCCCCTATATTCACCTTTTTTCTTTAATGATTTACCTTTTCCTTTATTCTTGTCCCATTTGAATAGATCTACTTGTCTTCACTTGACCCCATACTGGTATAAATCTTACATGCCTTGTATTTTCTTATCACTTGAGAATGAACCATGAAGGCTCGAAACGTTGTGTAAATTTTAAAATAAGTGTAATACATTCTACAGATATTTATTTATTTTTCGTCACCTCGAACGAAGATGACCTTTGGAGAACTCCTCTTCCTATTAAACCAAGATGCTAGAATACTTGTCAGAGGGAAAGAAGCCCTAAACAAAAAATAATCAATACAGAATATGCAGAATAAATATATACATCATCGTAACGGCACTCTGATGTAATCTTGGGCATAGTTATTTTATCAAATCACATCATTTTTTGGGGCCACGTGAGCAACACAAATGCGAACAAGGTTAAGGTCTCCTGTACACCAATTGCATAGTGCTCCTGGCAGTATGGGTTCGAGTCACTTTTAGGGTGTGGAGTTTTCAGTTGAATATATGCCCGGGGACCATTCATGCTTGTTCACACACACACACACACACACACACATATTATATATATATATATATATATATATATATATATATATATATATATATATATATATATATATATATATATATATATATATATATATATATATATATATATATATATATATATATATATATATATATAATAGCACAGAGAAATATGAAATGAGGTGAACGTTTCGGCTTTGTTAAAGCCTTTGTCAACACCAGACTGACTGTCTGGTGTAGATTATATATGTCAGTCTGGTTAGTTAGACAAAGGCTTTAACAAAGCCGAAACGTTCACCTCATTTCATATTTCTCTGTGGATTTTCCGCATAAAATGATCAGTGTTTTGTGATCGTCAATTGCATATATATATATATATATATATATATATATATATATATATATATATATATATATATATATATATATATATATATATATATATATATATATATATAATAGAAAAGAAGAAAATAAGAAGAAAATAATGCCTCCCAGAAAATACGACTTTAAAAATGCCTTCAACAGGGTAAAAAGGGATGTGGTACTGGATGCAGTTCGAACCAGCTTTCCTTGTCTATTTCCTTTCGTTTCAGCAGGGTACAGTAGGGAATCGACACTGTTGTTTGGGGAACATGAAGTTGTTTCCGCAGAAGGTGTCCAGCAGGGAGACCCACTTGCCCCTTTTCTTTTCTGCATGGTAGCTAAGGAGGTCACAAGCAGGTTGTCCAGCGAATTCAACATCTGGTTCCTGGACGATGGCATCCTGGCAGGGACACAGGAATCCCTGCTAGGAGATCTTCAGCTAGTGAAATCTAGGGGAGAGGAGTTAGGCCTTACACTAAATCCATCAAAGTGTGAAATCATCTCATCCAGCCAACCAATCATAGATGCAGCACGAATCTTATTGTCAGGAGCCCAAGTGATCGCTCCCACCGACAGTGTACTGCTAGGGGCACCTCTGGGCTCGTACGCCATTGAGGTAGTCCCCGAAGAAAAGCTTAAAGACCTGAGGAGGACGGAGGCGCGAATAGAGGTTTGGATGCTCACGATGCTTTGTACCTTCTTACAAGGTGCCTGGCCTTGCCCAGACTTACCTATTTCCTCAGGTGTGCTCCTTCTTTTGACAGCCCAAAATTAACGGAATACGACTCACTCCTAAAGACAATAACTATGAAAGTGTTAAACCTCTCCCTGCAAGATGACCAGTGAGACCAAGCAACGCTCCCAGTTAGACTCGGGGGTATAGGTATTCGCAAGGCGACACAGTTAGCATTGCTGGCATTCTTATCCTCGACCAGTGCTACAAGTGAATTAGTGAATGAAATACTACCAGAATACCTAAGGAACTTCACTGGGATTCGTGATCCAAAATTTGTGGATGGAGCTGGTCAGTGGGACACTCTTGCCAATTCACACACCCGACCAACTTTTCCAAACGACGGTAAACAGGCCAAATGGGATAGCCCCATAGTGGAGAACATCGCTAAAGCATAGCTGGACGCAGCTTCTAAGAAGGACAGAGCGCGTCTCCTAGCTGTGCAAGCCCCCAATGCTGGGGACTTCCTGTTGACAGTCCCCAATTCCATCTTGGGCACCCGCCTGGACCATAGGGACCTAAGCATTGGTGTTGCTCTGCGCCTTGCCGCCCCTATCTACACCAAACACCGGTGTGTTTGCGCCCATGCACGGGCAGACCAACGGCAGCCATGGTCTCATCTGTCGTAAGACACAGGGAAAGATTGCCAGACACGAAGCAGTCAATGACATCATCAAGAGAAGTTTGGCTACAGCTGGGTGTCCAGCAGAAAGCGAACCCCAGTTGTGCAGACCTGACAACAGCCGAAAACGCCCAGATGGAGTCACGCTGCAGCAATGGAGGGAAGGTAAACAGGTAGTATGGGATTACACCTGTGCATCTACATTGGCTGATACCTATTTACGTTATAGCTCAGCGGAGGAAGGTGGGGCAGCCACCTTCAGGGAGACCCAGAAAATCAACAAGTACAGAGACCTAGAACGTTGTTACAGGTTCGTGCCGATAGGCTCTGAGACTCTGGGCGCCTGGGGTAAATGTGCATTCAAGTGTTTAAAGGAGGTTGGTGAGGAACTCATTGGGAAAACTAGAGACCCACGAGCAGCCAGTTTCCTGTTCCAGCGCCTCAGTGTCGCAGTTCAGAGGTGAAATGCGTGCTGTATCCTGGGTACGCACCCAACCTCCGAGGAGCTGGACGAGGTCTTCGAACGCTGATTGTTTAATTGTTATATATTTGTGTGTGTGTGTGTTCTCTGTAAACTGTAGCATTGCAATAAAAGTATATATATATATACGTGCTGCAGGAGATGTAGGGTGGTGTGGTCCGTATTGATGGTGGACCGAGCACTTTTCAGGTGTGAAGTGAAGTGCTGAAGCTTCAGGATGAGGAAGAGTAGCTCCTTGCCAATTGTTCCGTAGTTCCTTGTAGCAGTAGTCGCTGACAGGTGTATTCTTCTCGCCTCGTTGCTGCATCACGACACCACCAACGTCGGTACCATTGGCGTCGACATGGAGGATGAAGGGCTTATCTGACGAGGTGAGAGTGGAATTAGAAGAGGGCAAAGGAGCACGATTATTATCCTGAAAGCATTTGGGAAGATCATTAAGGATTTCGGAATTAGAAAGCGCTGACTCCTTGTCAGTGCTTTCGGGAGGAAAAGCTGGGAAGGTCTCACTGTGGATGTAAGGTCCTGTGAAGGTAGAACAATTAGTCAGGACAGTGGGAGGAGTACCATTATATTGCTTCAGGAGGTTGACGTGGCACAGCTGGGTCTTCCGCCGCCGCCTATCTGGAGTCTCTATTACGTAGTTGTTATTATTCCTGCACTCTTTGACGCAGTAGGGTCCTGAAAACCTGTTTTGTAAAGGTGAACCTGGGATAGGGAAATAGGCAAGGACGAAGTCTCCCGGCTTGAATTTTCGTACTTTGCTGGTCTGGTCGTAATCAGTCTTCATTCTCACCTGGGCTTTCAATAGATTATCATGGGCAAAACGGTGGACTCTCTCTAGAATGTGTTGAAGGTTTTGAAGAAACTGGGGCACATTCTGATGCTCACTGAAGGTGGCATCTCTGAGAGAGTCTTTGAAAGCCTTAAGGGGAGTACGGCACTTACGGCCGTAGAGCATCTCATAAGGAGATACTCCTAGGGACTCATTGGGGAGACTTCTGAAAATACACATTATTAGGTCAATCTGCTTATCCCAATCCTTCGAGGTTTCACTACAAAACTTTTTCAAGAGTGCTTTGATGGTCTGATGACTACGTTCAAGAGAACCCTGTGAAGCAGGATGATAGGGGCTGGACAATACCTGTTTGATGTTGAACTCCTCCAGTGTCCTTTTGAAGAGATCACTGGTGAAGTTGGTACCACAGTCGCTTTGAATCTCCCTGGGAAATCCGTATTGAGTGAAGATCTTCAATAGATGTTTGATAACCGTAGCAGCCGTGATGTTCTTCACTGGAACTGCTATGGGAAATCTGGTGGTAGGACACAGGATGGTTAGGATGTAGGCGTTACCTGAACTGGTCCGAGGTAAAGGACCAACACAGTCTATTATGAGTCTGTGGAAAGGTTCCGCAGGCACCTGTATGGGAGTCAGTGGTGCTCTGGGAATGGAGATGTTCGGTTTGCCTGCCATCTGACATGTATGACACTGTTTTACGTACTGTTTGACGTTATTTACCATACCTGGCCAGTAGTAGTCTTGACGAATCCCATGGTAAGTCTTGTTGAAGCCGTAGTGGGAGAATGCTCCGTGGGCCAGGTGTAGAATAGTGGGCCGCAGGCTGGTGGGAATCACAAGTTGTTCGATGTTGGCCCAATCGTCCTCCTCCTTCAGTTTACTGGGTCTATATCTGCGGTAGAGCAAGTCGTTCTCTAGGAAGAACCCAGGAATACTGTCGGGTTGAGTCTCAGCCTGGAAAAACAATGGTGTTAAAGTAAGATCTTCCCTCTGCAACTTACGGAACTCCAACTTGGTCAGATGCGGGGGGAGTTTCTGAGGGTCTTGAGGGACAGCGGTAGCAGTAGAGTCAGCTGGCTGTGGACGTGCGGCTTGTGCACGGGTGGTCACGAGAACCGGAGGAGAAACTTCATCACTCTCTTGAACCTCTGCTGGAACATACTCTAGAATAGGGTTTATTGGCACAGAGTTACACACCTGGGGTTTGTCCATGACGATCAGGTTGGTCGGTTGCAGGTCTTCTGCCAAGTCGTTGCCTAGGTTGAAGTCGTTGCCTAGGTTGCCTAGGAGAAGTTGCACTCCAGGCATGGGAAAAGGCTTTTCCCTGACGGCGACTTGGACTTCCCCGT